TGTATATTATAACGTGTAAAATGGGAACATGAAATGAATATTCTAAAAGCCACTCATGTTAACACCATAATCATAATATTGGTTTATTTAGAATAAGGTAAATAATTAGATTACTGATGTCCATGTAAACGTAGTCACTGTAGTGTAGCAGCAGATAAATACTGATAAAATAATAATAAAAAAATCTTTATATATCATTTTATATCATTAAAATGAAACAGGAAGCCGCTAACAGAAGCGTAGATGAAAACTTTAGAATTTAGAAACTTTAGAATCGTAAATGAAAACTCAGAAGTACAGATCAGAGAATGAAAGAGGAGAAAACAGTTGCAAAACATGCAGTGTATTAAAAACGAAGTCAAAGATTTTGCCTGCATTTTATTTATTTATTTTTCAGTTTCAAAGACATTTTATTCAGTTTCAATGTATATTTTCATAAGTTTCTTGAAAAATTATATTAATTTTAATTGGCACAAAAGTAATTCCATAGTAAACAGGCTGCATTGCTTTTATGCTGCAGCTCGGCTTTACCTCCTCTATCCACTGGATGGCAGTATCATATACTATGAGTTTCACACAAATACCAAGATAACAAGATATATTTCAGAGGTTCAGACAGTTATATAACGCTTAAGTAGTAACACCTACCTTTATACAGGTGTTTATTTCATTGCTGTATAATAAGTGAAGATCACATAACACAGGCCTGCCACAATTACAATAATTTGTTTATTTTATATATATATATATATATATATTTTAAAGGGTCATTAACATTGAACTGACTTCAAAGGCACTTCCTCGTTTTTGTTGATCTTGTCGACCCTTTATCCTGTTTTGACAAGGACTCACAAAAGCCTAACTCAGGGAGACAGGTAGCACTTTCCAAAAACAACAACTCCGAGGGAGTTTAAAGTTGTTGAGACAAAGAGTGCATTGTGCATTTTCCCATGCCTGAAACATCTTAGTTTGTAGTCAAATAAGGGCGATAGAACACACTGTACTCATAACACGGCTTTTTTCAGCGCTATGAACTATATGCCTGGACCATGGTATGAAAATACTGATTATTTTTTAACAAAAAACATCTCAAATGTTCATCTCAAATTTTAGTATGCAATTAAGGAATCACTGTCACTCTAAAAAATGCTAGGTTAAATACAACCCAGTGCTGGGTTAAAAAGGGACAAACCCAGCAATTGGGTTGTTTTGACCAATTGCTGGGTTTGTCCCTATTTTACCCAGCACTGGGTTGTATTTAACCCAGCATTTTTTAGAGTGTGGCAAGGCACTTTTTTTAAGGTAAGTCACATGTACAATAAACTACATTTATGAGACTTCATAAATGAGTTGTATCTCAAGTTGTTTGTCTTGCTCAGTATTTATGCACATTTGCTCACTATTTTTCGTTCCCTCCTTCACCACTGCCATTCATTATAGGAGGCTGTGAATGAAAGCGAGTGAGTGTTTCAGGATGAATGTCTGGAATGTTGCGATGACAGAAAAGCAGAGTGATACAAATAGTGAAACACCCCAGTGCTGTGACACTGTATTTCAGTTACACTGTATGGAGCACACTCAAATTTGAGGACCAGCAGTTATATGAATGAATGAATGAATGAATGAAGAAGTCAGTCATATAGAATAATGTGGAAGGTTGTAACATTGCACGCTGAATGGTTCAAAGTGGTTGTTTTCATTTCAGATCACACTGAAGCGGTCTGATGGTTCCTCACTCTCCACTGTTTGATGAAGCATCGCTCAGTGGTCTGGTCATGAGCAGGGGACAGTGAGGACAGTGAGACACATGGACTGCTGTTGCATGCTACAGATATTGTGCAGAAATGAATGCAGAAAGTTCATACTGTGCTACATGTCATTTTTCACTGATGTGCTTCAAAAGATTTCTAATGGCTTTAATGTTGATGGTTCTTATGTAATCTGACTTATGCACTCTCAGAAAGAAAGGTACAAAAGAGTTTGTGCTTCAAAGAACAAATTCGTACCTTTCCATTAAATGTGCATTAGAAATCTGCACACTGGAAAAGCTTTCAAATCATTTCGTAGCTGCCTTTTATGGTTATGGTTAACATTCCTGTTTTTCATGTTTACATAAAGGCACTAAGCCCAAGACATCTTTAAAAAGACAGCACACAATAACAGCAAAAAAAATTGAATTTGCACTCATTTATTTTTCTATTTTTCATCATTTGAAAGTTTAAAAAATGTAAATGTATATTGTGTTTTGAATGGACATGTTCATATTTGAAATCACGTTTTTTTTTGTGGAAGTTTTCCTTTCATTGCAATCTTTCACTGTATTATAATAAACTGACAATGCCACATTATTGCACGGTATTGGTCTTATCAAATAACATATTTGAAAATCCATAATTGATGAGATTTTGCTGTGAAAGCCCACTAAAACTACAGGTGCATCTCAATGAAAAATCATCACAATTAAAAGAACCAAAGACTTAAACTACTTCAGTCTGTGTGCATTGAATTTATTTAATACACGAGTTTCACAATTTGAGTTGAATTACTGAAATAAATGAACTTTTCCACGACATTCTAATTTATTGAGATGCACCTGTATATGCAGTATTCTTCTCTAAAGAGTATTTCACTCAAATAAACCACTGAAAGCATAGCTTTCACATTTGTTGGAATTCACAGCACATAATTTCCCTGTGGGATTGCTTATTAATAATGTTCATTCTACATTGATGCACTGTAGGGGGAAAACAAACACAAAATGCCATATAAATGCATTCCAAGGCTGCAAAGTATTAGTTGACACCCAGACTTATACTTCCAAAGCACAGGCCAAAGATCCAAAGACTGTTATTTACATGTGATTTTGCTTGGGATATTTAATGTTATGCCCTAAATATAAACATATCCATCTGCTGACTGAAACTAGAATAAAGGTTAAATATATTATTCTGTTTCTTGTTGGGAAGCTTATGCAGAAGTGTTTTTGGATTCTAAATGCCCTGAATTAGGTCAGTCTTAAGCACCTTTGCATTCTGTGAGGAAAAAAAAAAAAAGTACAAAAACAGAAAAGGTGATTTCTGCCAGGGCATTATTCATTCAATTGGACATTTCCTTTTACCCTAAAAAAAAAAAATCCTTCATATTAACACCGTGCATTGTGCCCTATTTTTACAGAAACATATCCATCTGCTGACTGAAACTAGAATAAAGGTTAAATATATTATTCTGTTTCTTGTTGGGAAGCTTATGCAGAAGTGTTTTTGGATTCTAAATGCCCTGAATTAGGTCAGTCTTAAGCACCTTTGCATTCTGTGAGGAAAAAAAAAAAAAAGTACAAAAACAGAAAAGGTGATTTCTGCCAGGGCATTATTCATTCAATTGGACATTTCCTTTTACCCTAAAAAAAAAAATCCTTCATATTAACACCGTGCATTGTGCCCTATTTTTACAGACTTTTCTTAGAGTGTGTAGAATTTTGTTTCGTTTTTTGCAGACCTAAAGTTGTTATTTACTGCTGTAGGTCACATGAGATTCTGGGATAAACTGATTTAGTTACACAACAGGATTTGAGCTGAGCTCCGAGTGCATGGTATCCTTATGGAGAAAAGGAATAATTGTCCCAAATGTTGCCAGCTAAGTGTCTCCTTTTTTTTTGTTTGGAAGTCATTCAAAGTATTTGTTTATTTTTGAGCCCTGAGCAAAATAAAGGCTGTTTCTCAATCCATGCACATGTTTATCCCAGTGTTTATTAGGCTACCCAATTGGTTTTGGTTTAGATGTCTTTTCCCGTTATAGAAACAATAAACAGCTCAAATATGTCTCACATTTAGCTTTCAAACTAAAAAATAAAATGTTGTTTATATGTGTTTTTATTGATATATTATTCTTGATTACTAGATGACTCTCAGTGATCAGAACATACGTGAAAATTAAACTGGGCTACTAAAAAGGATGCTAGAGTCTGCTCTGTTTCATTTATTTTAATTGTTAATTTCTTTCTTTCTTTTTTATGTAAAAAAAGGAGAACGTTTTCTGTGAGTGTGGTTAGGGTTACGTTTAGAATAAGATCGTTGCTACAGCTGTGAAAACATTTCCCCCTGACATGCAGTTGTAATTTGTACTTTGTCCTTAATTAATATCATTATCATCATCATCATTAACAATAAATAACGAGAAGATCCATCGTTAAAGTGTAGCAACATTAAATGTAAAATTCCATAAAAGTTCAAGTAGGCTACCACAAATATTGATCCCTTTACTCAAACTAAGTCATTTCAGTATAACCTCTTTTGGTGTTTATGTTTGTAAATTAGACGTAAGCTTCAATGGCGTCGTTAAAACTCTCAAAGTAGTCAGTTTCGCAATAATAAGTCTCTAATCTTTCTGATGCATAACAGGTGTCGTATTTCTCGGCGTCGACTCAACGCATGCGGCGCTGATTGGATGAGACCCTTTGTCGACGTCACATGAGCCAATGACGAAGCTCCGCGCTTGTCCATCGATTATCACGAGGATAGAGCGCTTCTCCTGACGTCACAGAGCAGCCAGTCGAGCAGATTCATTCTCGCGAATCGGTTCTTTTGAACAGTTTGTTCATCGGTTCTTTTACGTCCACACGTGATATTTTCATGCTTCAAACATAATGATAAATATATCTGTTTGTTAAATTCGAGCTTGGCACTCATTTTGTGGCAGACCTGACTAAATTAGCGGTGCAGTAAATTTGTATTACTATTATTTTATTATAATAGCTACAACCATTCCTATTAAAACGGGGAGATGTTATTTTTAATTGAATGTATATATATATTTTTTTATATAAAATGTGTATATAACATTATATCGAAGGATTTGATATGTCCACGCAGTATCAAATCTCTTGAGAAACGGCAGGGCAGTTGGATTTTTTGAACCGAACTCGCGAACCGGTTGATGCAAAAGTGAACCGGTTCACGAGTCCGAACATCGCTAGTTCAGGATTGGACCGCACATTTCGCCCAATCTGGGTTACCAGCAGCAACAGAGGGAATCGGCGCACATTCATAGGTGTCATTGGCACTGAGCGGAGCGCTGGCTGTCATCCTCAACAAAGGAATGGTTTGAGCGCACTGTCTCCGTGGTGATGCCGTGTATCAGACATATATCATCCATAGGTTGTGCCATGCATTCAAGGAATAGGTGAATCGCGCGTGCCAGAAGAAGCCTTTTGCGCCAGTGTGCGCATTTGGAGAGGCGCATCAGCCGTGATCAGACTGCAGCTTTACTGGATCATTGGACCTTGCGTTTGCATTTTATTTTGCTCTTTTGTTCCTGGCCTTCCCCCCCCCCCCGTTGAAATATAATGTTGCGCTTCACAGCTGGCAGGCTGCTTGTCGGATTGTTCTTTTTGGGTTTTTTGCACAGTTCGGAGGTGGTTCTTCCAGCAAGGGCAATAGATGGTGAGTGTATTTGGCATGTGTATCATCATATAACACCCACTTTGAATTCTGCATCTGTTGCCGTGCATGTAGACATCATATCAATACGGAGCATCCTTTGAGACCCAAACTGCGTTAAATCGGAGTTTCTTTCGCTATCCGAACCGAATGTCACCAGTAAGAAAAAAGGTAGATGGCAGGTCTCATTATGGATTAGATAACGGCTTACGTTGAAGTAGCCAGCGCATGAATCACATAACCAGCTCAGGAGTGCAGATGCATTGATAATCAATGGATGAACCATCACAGCGCACATGCCCAGAATACAACGTGACACATGCAACTTTTTTCACATCATGTGCACTGATCTTGCACCAGACAGAATGTCTGTTATTGACCATTTGGAGGTGCAAATATATAAATAAACATAAAGTTGTGAACCTAGAACTTAAACTGCGTTTTGCAGAAGAGGCAGTGTCATGTCCAGCTATCATTTAGATGAGGTCTAGTCCTCGTTTAATGAAGGAGCTTGTTTGTTCAGATGTGTTTTGTTGAATCAGAACTCTCTCATCTGCAGTCCACCAGGCCCTCTCCATCAATGACATGCATTTGTACAGGAAAGGACGGAATGGTGATCTTTGGACTGAAATGCATTTTGGATTGCTGCTTCTTTGAGCCTTCACGTCTCTTTGAAGGCTTTGCTGTCTGTCTTATTATTTTTACATGCACGGTCTGTAGCTACTGAAGCTCAGAAGGTGAAGTGCTTTGAGCAGACACATGAGCTTCAAGATGCAAGATTTGTGATATGGATATATTAGGAATCATCTAGAATTGTAAGACAGTTGTTCATTCTGCTTTTAGTGCTGGAAATGCTGTTCTGAAGTCAACCAATTGATGATGAATGTGCGTTTGAACTTGTTTGTGTGCAAGCACAAACCACAGACTTCTTTGTTTCTATATAAAGCTCCTCATAATTACTACAGACTGTTCTTGCTATGGATGAAATACTTCATGCTTCTTCAAAACTTAAAAAAGTAACACTTTTTATTAATTATTTTGACATTGAGAACGTCCCAAAGGGAGATTTTGGAAGATTGAACTAACTTACAAAGTTAGTCTACAAAGTATCTTCGCATACATACTAACCTACATACATATTTATCTCATTGTTTTGCTATTGAGTAAACCTAAAACATTTTCTTAAAGGTATAGTTCACCCAAAAATGAAAATTTGCTAAAAATGCACTCACCCGCAGGCCATCTAAGATGTAGATGAGTTTGTTTCTTCATCAGATTTGTAGAAATATAGCGTTCCATCATTTGCTCAGCAATGGATGCTCTGCAGTGAATGGGTGCCGTCAGAATGAGAGTCCAAACAGTTTATAATAACATCACAATAATCCAGTCACACTGCAGTCCATCAGTTAACATCTTGAGAAGCCAAATTCTGTGTGTTTCTGTCATTACGATTGCTTATTTAAGGCTAAAATACAAGTCCTCTATTCATTGTTTTTTTTTTTTTTGTGAAAAAGTTGTCTTGTCTGAATCAGGAGAGAAATATGCACAGATCAAGAAGTCCAGAAACAGTCCAGAGCAGTTCTAAACAAATATGTGGCTGAAATTTGATGTGAGAGGACAGGCAGCAGGGGATGGACTTTTTCAATGGAGGAAGCATTATTATGGATTATGGACACCATAATAGCAATAGTTTAAATTTAAAAGACCTTAATGATGGATTTATTTATTTTATTTAAAACTCTTCAGAGAATCCATTGGTGAGCAAGTTACTGTATATAATGTTAAATTTCTCCATGTTTCTAACAGACTTCAAAGTGCAGTTACATTGTTTTGCCATTACGAATGAAAACATGTTTATTAGTTTGAGTAGACCTAAAACATTTTCTTAAAGGTGTAGTTCACCCAAAAATGAAATACTCTGACTATAACACAGTATTTTCTCACAATGGCCGTTTTAGGGCTGTATAGAATATGCATTCTCACTGAGCTGAAAGACTTCATGTTCAGTGGCTGGCTAAGCTCATCAATGGTGTTAATTAAGGGGCCCCTATCAGAGAAGTACACAGAAGGTTGCTGTTGTCTCTGGGGTCCTTTGAGGTGACGCACACTTTCGTCTCCCTCTTAAAGCAACCTCCAAAACAAGGAATTAACATACCAAAATTCTTTCAAAAGTATCGTCCAGTTTAAAGCATACCCTGAGATGACAGGCAAATGTATAGTTTAATTAATAGTGAGTAATGACAGACAAATATTTTAAGATGATCAGTTATCGCTCACTTGGCTGTGGTCCAAGATCTGTCGGCCGTAGATAGATAGATAAAAAAAGATAACAAAAAAAACCAATTATACATTTTTTATGACTTTTGAATTAATTTGGCATAAAATTAGTTTCACTTGGGTGAAGCTGGAGTATGTAATGTTAAAATACATGGTCGTATCCCAGCTTAACATGCAAGTATAAGAAAGCAATTTGTCCTCTGAAAAGTGCAAGCATTCTGACTCCGTCAGACACCGTCTAAACATTCCGAGCATCTCAACGCCAACGCTGAGTTTGGGGAGCCTTTTGGAAAATAGTTATTATTTTTGCAGTTCCGTTTGGTGATGTTAGTGATGCAGAAATTGCACTTCATTTTAGCAATTTATTGTACAGCACAATTGCTCTCGTTGAATTGTGTTATGTATATTTTGCCATTATGTAGGCCATCCAGCCATATATGTTCTCCAGAAAAACCAGAACTGCTTATCCTGACCAATGTGACTTTATAGTGGATGTTTTGGTTGAAACTGAGTAGAGACTAAAGGGATAATTTATTCACCGTTCTATAGATCTAATCTTATGGCTTTTCTTCTCTCATAAAACACAAAAGGAGATGCCCCTGCAATTACAGTGACAACATATGATGACTAAAATCCCAAAAGTTGTTCATACGACCCATGCGCTATATTCCAAGTCTTCGGAAGCCATATGGTTGCTTAGTGTGAGAAGCAGACCAGCTGAGAGGATAAAGATTTTTTTTTTTTTCCACTTGAGTCCGTTCAGCCAGTTTTGTTTGCAGCCAATGTCTGTAAATTTCCTGACAAGTAACCTACTCCCTAAGGGGTGGGCATTTCAAGAGTTTGAGCTGATAGGAAACTCTTAATAAGAGCTGAAGAGATATTATACTGTACACGTTCTGCACAGCCCAGGAAAGACAGAGAAAGGAGGAAATAAACAAGGTTGAGACAGACGAGTGTGTTCCCCACCCCCAACCTCAGTCTCCTTCACTCAACTGTGAAACACATCTGGATAGGGAAAGGTCATTTGTTTGGAAGTATGCATGTGGAGAGGGTGGAAAAGAGGGTGGATATTCTCTCAAACACCCTTTAAACAATGATCGAACCCTTAGGCTCTTTGTGCATTTGTTTTGAAAAAGATGTTTGGTGGAGAAACCTGCAATCACAGAAATGTGAAATATCGGAAGGAAGGAAGTAGCATGGATTGGGGAAGGGTGCATATGAGACCTTTGAGCTGATGTAAGATGACAGGAGAAAGACTGAGCTGCTCTTCCCCCTCTTTTATCCGTCCTCCCCCTCGGCTGTGTGGGTAGTGTTGCATGATGTGCTTTAATGATCTTAACTAGATAATTAGGTTTGGTGTGTGATTAGGGCACTTTGTTTATTCTATAGATTTAAAGCTAAACTGGAGATGGAAAATCTGTCATCACTAACTCAATTTGTATGACTGTCTTTCTTCTGTAGAAAGTAAAAAAGGAGAAATTTTGAAGAATGTTCACACTGCTCTTTTCCATACAATAACAGCAGTAATGACCAGGGACTGTTAAGCTCTAAAAAAGACACACACACACACACACACACACACACACACACACACACACACACACACACACACACACACTATAAAAGTATAAAAAAAAGTGACTTTTATGGGTTCCCAGTCATGGAATCTAAACAACATCAATGGAAAAACATGCCTCTACTTACATTTTTGCAAAACACAAATGCATGAATTTGTCGAATTCAAAACTAGTTTCGGCAAAAAACCAACAACTTTTATTCCTTTTCACACAAATTATGATGACAGGCAGAGATTATTAGTTCATAAATACTTATTTTTGCAGTTTCTTGCACAATTCTGTTATGACCTCAAAACACTTTTATCATAGCGCATGATTTCTGAACCAATTTTGATGTTTGCATCACATGACCAACTCCATATACAGTATATGGATTTTCTGACATAACATTCTTTTTTGGTAGTTCACTTGTTACAGCATTGCGCTTGCGATACAGAGAGCTCTGATATGAGTCCCATGAAACACAAGCCATGATAAAAAAGCTTAAGCACTTGTAGAAGCCGGATAAAATTACACGGTTGCTTCAGCAGGCATATTCTCACATTTGCTTTTGTTAAGACTATTAGTTAAGACACTAGACATTTCATTTCCAAACTGCCAAACTAAAACTAAAACAGATAAAGCTAAACTTACTTTTTATGCCACTCATTGATCATTTCACTTCGAAAATGTGTACACTGTAAAAAGTAATGAGTTGAACTTACTTGGAAAACCTGTGGAAACTGATTGCCTCAAATTTCTCAAGCAAATTAGTTTATAATTTTTGAGTTAATAAAACTTACTGTAACTTTGTATAGGTAACTTGTGTATATGTATAGGTTACCAGAAAACTTGAGTGTTGCTAACTCAATTTGACAAGTTCAGCCAACTTAGAGATTTAAGTTAAGCTTAGTACACAGAACTCAAACAAAACAGTTCTCTTAACAAGTCTGCTTTGTTCACATTACTAGACAAATGTGTGGAAACAGATTGCCTTAAATTTCTCAAGTAAGCTGTACTCAAAACTTGAAGTTGTTAATACAAAGACAGAAAACAGATTGTTAGCACAACAATAGGGCATTTATTTGTTTAAAACAATGTTACTTCAAGTCATTACTTTTTAGGCATGCTATCAAATCAACAATTTAACACTGTAAGAAAAATTGCACA